CTTTGTAAGGACACCATCGAAGGACTCTGTTTGATCCTGCGGCTTTGTAACGCCATCCGCAATAACCTGGTCCGGGGGCTTCACTGTGAATACCCCTTGAAGGTAGAACAACAAGCCTTCCCTCTTGAGTGAGCCTTTTCTCTTCACTAGGATGTATCTTGACAAGGGCTCCGCAATCAAGTAGCGCTTGTGCTTCTTTCAAGATAGCCTTTTTCCAGGCATCAATATTTTCTCGGACCTCCCCCAACGTCATAGTATACACCACCTGTAACGGCTCCTCCAAGTGTCGTAAAAGATCTTCGACTCCATGTTGCTCTCCTCCCTCCACCAAGCGGCACAAACGAAACCATTCCACGGCATCCGTAGGGTCAGCTCCGTCGTAGTGCTCCAAGTCCTTAGCCTCCAGCTGTTCACATAACTTCATTGCCCTCACATTCACCAAATTCACTGCTTCCATCTCCTCTGAGTTCTCCGATCTGGGCCGACATGATTCAATCCTCTCCTCCTCATCCAACAGCCTGCGCAACCTCATCAACCTTTCTTCGCCAATGGTCTCGATGTCATAGTACTCCTCCTCATCCTCCGTTTCGCAGTAGTCGTACTCAATGACGTCGTCTATTGACCTCATACTGCTCAAGGTAGCTGTTGGGACATCTGGAAGAGGAAATCCATAGCTCTCCAAGCGTTGAACATCCCTGGGCTCCATTCGATTGATCCCACGATTGCAGTAACCAATCACTGTCCACTTCGTTCCCGTCCACGGCATAGAGCTGTGCCACCTCCTCGGATCGAACTTCAAGATCGCGTCTTTGCTTTGTAGGACCGTTCCACAAACCACATCTCCATTTGGAAGTTGTTGTTCTTGTCGTGGATAATCCCCATGCTCTCCTTCTATCCAAACACCTCCTCCATCGAAGCTGCCGAAGGAGATCGTAATGTTTCGACGGCCATGGATGTTGTACTTATCTTTGTGCAGCTTCGTTCCCAAATTACGCGCCACCACAACACTGGTAAAAGGATCACCGGCTCCAGCGTGATGCTTGAGGAAGCCCACCAGATACTTTGTGAGGTACTCGAAGTGTTCAGTGGCCTTAGTCAGTCCCACAAAACCTCCATGTTGATAAGCACCAAAAGCCACATAGACATCTGGTCCGGGATCACCCCACGCATTGGCAACCCTCGTCTGGTTCGGCTTGCGAAACGGGGTATCTTCCAGCAAATGTAAGCAATCATCCAAGGAAAACCATTCCCTCTCCCACGACACCTGGGCCAGTGACTTCATGTGATCTCCGGCTGGTAGGAACTCCATTCGGGCTACAGACTTCTTGTCTTTAACTTTCTCAGTTTCACATAGTACTCTGCTCAACGAGATAGAACCCGCCGGGTCTGCCCTTGCTGACCTTGCGTGGCCAAGAGGAATTACTGCAGGAGGCGGCTTCTTTCCAACCACTCGTCTCCGCGTAGCCAGCGTAGAGGGGTCTGGCTCCATAGGAACATCTGGAAGTTGCCGAACATTGCACGTATTCCACAAATGATCGTCTTCCGTTAGAACAATATGGCCTCCAGGAACATCTCGAGCAGGTCCAAGGTAAACCGCGTTTCCCCATTTGGGGTCTAAGTCTCGAGCCTCAGCTCCGTACTTCTTCCTCTTCACGTAGACCTGGTTTCCAAACCCCGCTGGAGGATTTAGATCTTGTCCAAACACCAAGGATCGTTGACGAAGCGCAGCTGTTTCGGCCGCCATTGGCCACCAAGTTTTCACCTCCTTGGCCTCACGACCGCTTCGCTCTTGAGCTGAGGACAGCAAGATCCTTGTCCTTGACTTAATGTACTTCACCGCCTGCTCCGCCACGCCATTCTGAGCCGGCGAGTCCCCTTCGGTTCTCGTAATCTGAACGTCTCGTGCTGCGGCCCATTCCATAACCGCTGCAGTCCTGAACTCCCTGGCCCTGTCGGCATGTAGTCGGCAAACTGGCAGTCCCAACATCTTGACATCAATGTACACCTCCTGTAGTGCGCGTAGAACATCGGAAGACTTCCGACCACGTAGCGGCCTCACAAAGTAGGCCACCGAGAAC